ACATCTCTCTATTATTCAAATTTTTTCAATGAGCTTCTTAAAAAGGGATGAAACAAAAAAAAAAAAAAAAAAGTAAGAAATATCTTTTCAATCTACCTGGCTTGATAAAGGTGTGACAGAATGACTTGCTTCATTGACCTCTGAGTGGATTATAAAAGATTTTGTTTGACATCAGTCTTAAAATACAAAAAATAGCATTCAGAAAGATTTCTTTTTTAAGCTCTATTACTTATTTGATAAATTATTACCAAAAAGAGTCTGAATTTCCTTCATTAATGCCTCTTCAACCTTCGGGTGATTTGCAATGAGAAACAGCATGAAGAACACAGAGACAGACATGGTGTCAGGTGCCGCAATTAGCATTTCCAGTATGCACTGGTTCACATTCTCTCTTGTCAGGTCACCACGTTTCTGAACAATCCAAAGAGGAGATAAAAATTGGAAAAATCAATCAAAGTTTCATGAAAGGAGGGGAGGTAACACTCAAGGATCAACAACCTCAACAAAATGAAATCATAGAAATTGACTGTGCACATTTTACATGACAATCTTTAGCTGAAAACTGAACAATTTAACCAATTATCCACGTATTTAGTGTTTTTGACTCTGTCCCACCCATTCTCATCTCTCCAATTTCCCTCCCACCCATTTTCATATTTTTATGTTGTGTAAACGTGGAGTAGTTTCAAGCTTAAAGGCCAGTCTTACTAGAATCCCTAATGTGTGGGCTATTTGAATTGAGTATTATAGAAGCACTACAGAAAGTACTTAAAAGCAGAAGTACGCAACAATTACAAGAGGAAATCTTCACACACATACCATATTCTCAAATGAGGAGGGCATGATTGGCAAGCAAACGTAGAAAGCATGTGTTATTTGTGTAAAAATATGGTGCATACACTTAGTCATACACATACATTGTGTGGGAGTTATGGTTAGTCCAGGTCAGTACCTCGGCAAAAATCAACTGAGTGGCAAAATCCATATTGTCTTCCAGTTTCTCTGCCTCAGAAATCCTGTGTCTCTTTTCTTCAATTAGAATTTCTAAAGTATCTTTCAAATCCTTGCTGGAAAAATAAGTCAAATTGTAATCTATTTGTACTCAGCTTAGACATCTAGCAAAATAAGTTCATTTGCCATTTGTTTAAATAAAATGATCTACTTTAATTAAAGTCATTAAGGCTCATGAATTAGTAAATTTATGTTTTATTTCTTCACAAATTTTCTTAAATTACATACATTTTATTCTTCATGATAAGGACTTAGCATTAGATAAAATTTCTTGGTATTGGTAGCAAAATCAAGTCTGTGACCTCAAAACAAAGCTATTTAATGACAGCTTCAAGATTCCAAAGCACACCATATATAACCAAATGATGACAACAACAATAAAACACAAGCAAAAGCAAAACACCACCATACCCACTGCCATCTACTCTATTCCGACTCATAGTGACTGTATAAGACAGAGTAGAACTGCCCCCCCCCCCCATAGGGTTTCCAAGGTTGTAAATTGTTAGAGAAGCATTACAGACTACCACATCTTTCTCCCATGGAACAGCTGATGGGTTCCAACCACTGACCTTTTAGTTAGCAGCCAAGAGTTTTAATCACTGCTGCGCCAGGGCTCCTTACAAAACACCACACACATTATTAAAGACTTATTAGTTCATTATGAAAAAATTCTTTTAGGCTATTGTAAATTCCTGTAATTTGAATTATGTTAAATTCCTTCAAAAGCAACACAACTGTAAGTTGATTCTGTGTTTCCATTTTTCCAGATATGCATAGAGCGTTTAGATAGAGAAGTTTGATAGGGTCAGCCAACCCTTCTCTTCAACTTAAAATACAATCAGTGTCTTAGCTCCAGAGATGGAGCTCTGAGACCACACACTTGGACCCCTTGTTGAAAAGCTGGCCCAGCCACAAGCTTCTTTTACTCTTTGGCCTGGCCAAATGCAACCAAATTTCTGTAAGAAGAATTTCATCAGCAACTTAATCAGCAGCTCCCTTATGAGGTCTGGAGAGCAGAAAACTTACCGAAGAGGCCAACAATAGCAAAGACACAAAGAAAAAACAATCCAATCCCATTTATAAATCTCCCAAACTTGTGTTACTTACACAGATTTTTCATACTTTTTGTAGAGCCAAGAAATCTTAAAGAAGATGTCTGGTTTGAGAAGGAGAGCTTGCCATGCATCAAAATAACCCTGGATTTTAACCACGATGGCACTTTCTAGAAAAAAAAAAAGAGCTGAGCAATTGAGCGAAAGGTGAACCCAAAATGGTGCTCTGGGCAAAGAATATTCCCTATAGGTTCTCCTACCATCCTGGAGGTTCTACATTGTACAAGCTTCCACCTGTAGTGAGCATTTTAGCCATTATCTTAGTTATCTAGTGCTACTATAACAGAAATACCACAAGCAGATGACTTTAGCAAACAGAAGTTTATTCTCTCACGATCTAGGAGGCTACAAGTCCAAATTCAGGGTGCCAGGTCCAGGCGAATGTTTTCTCTTTCTGTCCGTTCTGGGGGAAGGTCCTTGTCATCAATCTTCCCCTGGTCTAGGAGTTTCTCAGCACAGAGACCCTGGGTCCAAAGGACGCGCTCCCTCTTGGCTCTTGTTTCTTGGTGGTATGAGGTCCCCCTGTCTCTCTGCTCACTTCTCTCTTTTATATCTCGAAAGAGATTGACCCAAGGTGCAACCTAATCTTATAGATTGAGTCCTGCCTCATTAACATAACTGCCTTTAATTCTGCCTCATTAACATCATAGAGGTAGGATTTACAACACATAGGAAAATCACGTCAGATGACAAAATTGTGGACAATCACACAATACTGGGAATCTTGGCCTAGCCAAGTTAACACACAGTTTGGGGGACACAATTCTATCTATAACAGCTATATTAATGCCATTAGATAAATCAAACACTAATATATTATATTTGGCATCTAAATCAGCCAAATTATCAGACAGCTTCCAGCGCTCACTTTTGTGTTTAAGACACAGTCTGTTGTTAGGTGCCGCTGAGTTGGTTCCGACTCATAGGACCCTATGTCCAATAAAATGAAACACTGCCCAGTCCTGTGCCATCCTCACAATTGTTGCTATGTTTGAGCTCATTGTTGCAGCCTCTTGTGTGAATCCATCTCCTTGAGGGTCTTCTTCTTTTTCACTGGCCCTCTACTTTACCAATTGTGATATCCTTCTCCAGGGACTGGTCCCACCTGATAACATGTCCAAAGTACATGAGATGAAATCTTGCCATCCTTGCTTCTAAGGAGTATTCTGGCTGTACTTCTTCCAAGACAGATTTGTTCATTCTTCTGGCAGTCCATGGCATATTCAACATTCGTTGCCAAAGCTATAATTCAAAGGCATCAATTCTTCCGTCTTCCTTATTCATTGTCCAGCTTTTGCATGCCTATGAGGTGACTGAAAATACCATGGCTTGGGTCAGGTGTACCTTAGTCCTTAAAGTGACATCTTTGGTTTTTAACACTTTAAAGAGGTCTTTTGCAGCAGATTTGCCCAATGCAATGCTTCTTTTGCTTTCTTGACTACTCCTTCCATGGGCATTGATTGTGGATTCAAGTAAAATGAAATTCTTGACAACGTCAATCTTTTCTCCATTTATCGTGATGTTGCTTATTGGTCAAGTTGTGAGGTTTTTTATTTTGTTTATGTTGAGGTGTAATCCATACTAAGGCTGTAGTTTTTGATCTTCATCAGTAAGTGCTTCAAGTCCTCTTTACTTTCAGCAAGCAAGGTTGTGTCATCTGCATAATGCAAATTGTTAATGAGTCTTCCTCCAATCCTGATGCCTCGTTCTTCTTCCTATAGTCCAGCTTCTCGGATTATCTGTTCAGCATACAGATTGAATAAGTATGGTGAAAGGATACAACCCTAATGCACACCTTTGCCGATTTTAAACCATGCAGTATCCCCTTGTTCTGTTTCAACGATTGCCTCTTGGTCCATGTACAGGTTCTGCATGAGCGCAATTAAGTGTTCTGGAATTCCCATTCTTCACAATGTTATGCATAATTTGTTATGATCCACACAGTCGAATGCCTTTGCGTAGTCAATAGAATACAGGTAAACATCTTCATGGTATTCTCTGCTTTCAGCCAAGATCCATCTGACATCAGCAATGATATTCCTTGTTCCACATCCCCTTCTGAATCCAGCTTGAATTTCTGGCAGTTCCCTGTTGCTGTACTGCTGAAACCATTTTTGAAATATCTTCAGTAAAATTTTACTTGTGTATGATATTAATGATATTGTTCAATAATTTCTGCATTCCATTGGATCACCTTTCTTTGGAATGGGCAAGAATATGGATATCTTCCAGTCAGTTGGCCAGGTAGCTGTCTTCCATATTTCTTGGCAAAGGTAAGTGAGCACTTCTAGCATTGAATCCAGTTGCTAAAACATCTCAACTGGTTATTCCATCACTTCCTGAAGCCTTGTTTTTGGCCAATGCCTTCAGTGCGTCTTGGACTTCTTCCTTCTGTACCATGGAAATCTAACAATTCCACGTTTGGCTGAGCCTCTAACTCCCTTCCGTTCTTCTGGACAATTGGGAATATGAAGGGGACTAATAATTACGGCTGTTACAGCCTCAGCTCAAGCACCTAGGCCAGGCAAAAAGCCATGCCACTCTGCCACTAGGTAGCCGAGAGCCACATTTTAACTTCATTTGGTATTGGGTAAGCAGAGTTATTAAGTGGGAAATCTACTTGGATCCACAGCTAATTGTAGCTTTTAATTGCATTCTCATCTCATAGTGCCGTATTCAGGTTATTCTCACAGCACCCATCACACAGTGTTCACTCTTACTTTCAGTCCAGTGGTTGATTTTCTATACGTCTCCCTCCTCTTCTCTTTATAAGCCCCATTGTACCTAGCTTTTTAGAGCTATTTGCTTTTTCTGGAATCAGAATAGCCTCCCTATATGCATACATTAAAAAACAAATAACGGTTACCGTGGAGTCGATTCCAACTTATAGCGACCCTACAGGACAGAGTGGAACTGCCCCATAGAGTTTCTAAGGAGTGGCTGATGGATTTGAACTGTTGACCTTTTGATTAGCAGCCATAGATTTTAACCACAGCACCACCAGGGCTCCATATAGTAGATGCTAAATTAATGGTAGCCATCATCACCATTTTTATCACCAGCAGCAACAGCAGTAGCATCATTATGATCATCACATAAACAGACTCAAAGTTTTCATACTTAGGAGCTTTGAGAAAGAAATGTGTATACGTGTATGTAATATGTATATTTCATGCCCAAAAGAATCGTTGGAAATGGTAAAGTTTATCAGTATGATTGGTGGTAGCATATACTCATGACCAAACAAACTGATCACATTTGATAAGTTTCTACTCTAGAGCAGTCAAGAGGGGTAACAAAGGAAATACAAGATGGTCCATAAGTTTTGGAAATTTATATCTCAACAGTGAACAAGGCAGAGGCACTAGGTGAAAAAACTTTAGGGGTACTTAGAAAAAAATGTTTTAACAAGGTCAGTGTATAAACAGCATGTGTGAATCTCTTATCCCCCTTGTCCCCTTTTTTGGTAAAGGACAGGATGTTATGTCACAAGAATCAAAATTTCAGTACCGTCCAAGGGGATCCCCAAAAAGAGTACGTTGGAGGTGTCCAGCATGATGCGTCGCATGAGAGTCAGCACGTCAACACAGCCTGACGCGTTGGTGACCTCCTCCAGCCTGTCCAGATGCGTTTTGACGGATTCAACACAAATCGCCACCATCCGCATGAGGCCGGGACCAGACAAAGCTGAAGGATACACATCAGACAGTGAGCCACCTCCAACTCCAGGCACAAACAATCAGGTTATGTTGGCTTTTACATGTTTGGAGCTTTATTATCCACAATTTTAAATTCAATAACTGGGTGAGAGTTTTATATTGTTCTTCATACTTTTCTGTATTCTCCCAGTTTTCTAGAAGTACATATTACCTTTAAGATTAAAAATAAATAAATAAATCTTATTTTAAAAAATGATTCAAAAATCAAATTTTCTTCATGTTTCAACGTGTGGCAGGATATTGTTACAGAACTACTCAAACCAAAACCAAAGCCTGTTGCTGTTGAGTCGATTCCGACTCATAGAACCCTATAGGACAGAGTAGAACTGCCCCATAGAGTTTCCAAGGAGCACCTGGTGGATTCGAACTGCCGACCTTTTGGTTAGCAGCCGTAGCTCTTAACCACTACACCACTAGGCATATTAGTTGATCTAAGGTGCTTCTTGGTTTATCATAGGTCCTACCTGTAAAATTCTAGTCTTATAAATCACTAAAAGTGTCCTTCTCCTAACTTCAGTTTCTCTTTAAACTACTTCCAGATTTTACTCAGCCAATGGCATAACAACCAAATAATTGCTTGTTTGCTTAGCAGTCTTTCCCACTGGACTCGGAACTCTGCAAGGGCAGGGACAGCCTCTTATTTCCATTGTACTTCAAGTCCACAGAACATGGTGGTACTTGATATATGTGTTTGTCAAATAGAGAAATGAATGAACAAGGAAAGCAGGTACAGTGATCTGGCTCTGGTTTCGCCCTTGGCATGCTCCTGACCATCTGAGTGATCTGTAAGTCCTGACAGGTAGGGGTCCCTCTTTCTCTTTTTTTTTCTGTGTTTCTTACACTTCCTTTAGGAATTGTTTTTCTTTCTTATGTCTTTCATTATTTCAGCAGACTCGCTGTTGTATCCAGAGTCCTTGAAATGAGATGAAAAACCTTGGGGAACTTTGTAGGCACTATTCTAGAAGACTACTCTCTTTCCCACTCCTCCTCTACTCACTCCAAAAAAAAAAAAAAAAAAAAAAAATTCAGTTGAGCTGCAAAACCCTATGGCCAGAAAGCAGGCTTTGCAAATAAGAAATGAAGCCTGAGGAGTGGTCCTAGATTCCTTGAGATTTCCATATATATATATACAAAGGAAGGTTGGAGTGGGACCATACTTTCTGATTGTAGGAAGGATTTGGCGCATATGAAAGGCCAAGATGTTGTGATGTTGTTCCCCGGGTAACTACCACATCTACATGTGGGACTAATGTTTCCTTAATGACTCAACCCTTTGCGTGAAAATGTTAGCTTCATACATCACTGGTGGTTTTCTTCCAGGCTGATGCATGATTTGTCCCTATGTCCAGGAGCTTGAGGTCACATTTCAAACGTATAAGCAAAATGGAAGATCATTTCTTATAGACAGTGGTGTGATGTAGATATGATCTTAATTAAAAAAAAAATCGCTAAAAGATACTGAATCTGTTTTCAAAAGGTCAAAAGAGAATTGAGCAAATAATTGGCAAATTCCATCAATATAGACAGCTCTCTTAGTAGCTTCAGGAAACATGCCCTTTCAGCACCCCCCACTCACATGGGTCTTTGCTAAAATTGCACTTATCTATTTCTCCACGGATGCACCCACTAAGTCAGTATTTCCAGTAATACTACTATTTTAGATACCAAATCCTATCTCAAACTTTCTACTATATCAGGAAAACCAACAAGGAATCTAATTCTAAAAGGGGATTCATCAAGAAATGCTTTGGCCTCCCACTGATCCCTAAAAATGTCAGAGACCACAGTGAACTTTCAATAAGCAAGTAGCCCACTATTTTTTGGCTTTTAATTTAGGTCTGGTTTGGTAGCATTTTTATTAAAAAATCTGATTATCCATATATACGACTAATCTAAAAAGCATCACAACATTTTTTAAATTAATTTAATTTTGAAGTACTATAGATTCTGGAGTCCCTGGGTGGTGCAAATGGTTAAGCACTCAGCTGCTAACTGAAAGATTGGTGGTTCAAATTCACCCAGAGGTGCCATAGGAACAAAGGCCTGGTGATCCAGTTCCAAAAAATCAGCCATTGAAAACCCTATGGAGCGTAGTTCTACTCTGACACACATGGAGTAACCATGAGTTAGAATCGACTCTGTGGCAACTGGGTTTTTTTGTTTGTTTGTTTTGGTAGATTCTACTTTTTTATCATCTCTCCTACCCGTGCCCTGCCCTCCATCCACTTCTGCTCAGAGCCTGCATCGGAGCAGCAGCTCCCAACTGTTCTCACTGCTCACAGCAGTGCTTCCTTCCAATTAATTCTTCCTTCACTCTGCTGCCTGGGGGATTGTGCTAAAACACAGATATGTTCGTGTCATTCTGCTTACAATCATCAGTGATTCCTGCAGCTTCTGAGATAAGCTCAGCTCTCGGGCTTACCACAGGGGTCTGGTGATCTGACCCTGCCTTCCTTCCTCCATGGCCTACTTGTTCCCTGGATGCTTGGTGCTAATCTTTCCTCTCTGCCTTTGAATGTCCTGTTCTTTCCTCCCAGAAGACCGTTGTCACACTATCTTAATTTAGGTAGCATTTTTCTTTCTTTCAAAACTCAGCTTAAGCATCACCTCCTTTGAAAAGCTCCCTGACCCCTGGTGAGCGTTAGATGGCCCATTTTTCTCTGCTCTGAAGCACTCCGTACATGCCTCTAGCATAACTCTTCCTCTTCACCTAGTACTGTATTTGGTCATCTATTGTCTGCCACTCCACACTACCCTTCCACCATTATAAGTTCCTTGAGGGCAAGGACCATGTCTTTGTCATTGTATTCTTGGCACCTAGTGAGATCATGAGAACATGTTAATTTTTTTTGAACAAATGGACAAGTTTAAAGATTCTACTGGCTCTTGCGTATCAGGGTAGAAAACGTGGTGTACAAAGTTCATATATTCTTAATACACCTGGGCCAAATGACAAAGTAAAATAAAATTTACATTTCTATAGGATCTTACAGTTTTAAAAGCATTATTTTATCATGTACTGTTCACAACCACCCTACAGTGCAAGTTCTATAGTATTTATCACCTCTTGTGGAATAGGAAATTGAAGCTCAGAGAGGCTAAGTAACTTACCCAAGGTCATTAGCTAGTAAGTGGCCAAGCTGGGACTTGAACCCACAGTTATTGCCCTTAGTTCTTTACTCTTGCCATTAAGCTATTCTGTACGTTTGTAAGGTATAAGAGGATTGATCTACTGTAGCATGAGTGATAGGCATAATAATGCCCTCCCCGTTTTTCCAGGTCCCAATCTCTGAACAGGTGAGTACGTTACCTTACATGGAAAAAGGGACTCTGCAGATGTGAGTAAGATTAAGGACTTCAAAATAGGGAGATTATCCTGGATTACCTGGGTGGGCCCAACTTAATCACATGAGTCCTTAAAAGCAAAGAAACTTTCCCGTCTAAGGTCAGAGTCAGTCAGAAAGATATGCTGACAATGGATGGAGTGTCGGAGAGATGTGATGTGAGAAGGACTCCACCTACCATTGTTGGCTTTGAGGATGGAGGAAGGGGGCCTTGAGCCAAGGAATGTGGGTGGCTTCTAGAAGCTGGAAAAGGCCAGGGAACAGATTCTTCCCTAGAGCCTCCTGAAAGGAACACAGCCCTGCTAATGCCTTGATTTTTAGCTTATTGAGACTCATGTCAGACTTTGGATCTACAGAACTCTTAAAGAATAAATGTGTTGTTTTAAGCCACTAAGTTTGTGCTATTTTGTTACTGCAGCTATAGATAACTAGTAAAATGGGGCTGCATGCACTGGAGTTGACCTGAGTCTTCGTGATGGGCAGCTCCACAGAGTGGGTATCAGCACTCTGCTGGGACAGGCATAGTTTGTCCCTGTCTTAGCAGCCACACAGGAGGCATCTAGGTTCACTACAGAGGCCGGTTGAGGGGAAGAATACATGGTACATGACCAGGCTGAAGACCCAGCTAACCCCCGATTCCATCACTGACCAGGTTTCAGGGGATGTTTGTCTTGCTTGATGTTAATGTCAAAGGTTGTTCGTGTGTCCCCCAATAGCTTCATTTCCAGCATCACATAGTAAAGGGGGGAAATCACTGGATAAGGAGGCTTAGGAGGAGCCTCTGCTCTTCCACGACGAGCTACGCTGCCTGGGTATAAATCACAACCTCTCTATGACTTCATTTCCAACTGTAAAACTCAGAGTCTGGATAGACAATACATATAGTCCTTTCCACTTCTAAAATTCTCTAATTTCATTCACAAATTTTCTCTCTGCTAAAATATCTGGGCTGCCAGGCAATGATTGAGCAAGCACATTGTTTGGCCATGTTTAAATCAAACGTATGATTGACACACTAAAGCCTTAACTGAAATGACCCTAAGCATAGTGCTCCATCTCTTCTTCACGTCCATGAAATTGCTTTGCACACTAACAAGAAGAACAGACTTTGTTGTGGTTAAAAACTGTTGGAGGTTGTATCCCCGGACACCGTTCACTAATGTTCACTAATGTTGTAACGTTTGGCAAATTACTTAACTTTTTTATGCCTTGGTTTTGCAATCTGTAAAATGTAGATAATAAGAGTATTTACCACATAAGGTTGCTGTGGGATTAAAATATCAAGTGCTTAGAACAGTGCCCATAATAAACACATAAAGAAAGTTAGCTATTCTTATTATTATTCAGAACTATGAAGCAGTGGAATTTAAAGTATGATTTTTTAAAAAAGGTACACTCATAGACAAAAGAGCAGAATGTAACCAGGCACTTGCTTACCTTTCATGAAGAAAGGTCGAATCACTTTCCAGAGGGCTGGATTATTGTTAAATATGATGCCGTTTTCATGCATGCCAATACACTGCAACCCAAGTTTGCTGCCAAATCGGGAGATGTAGTGACTGTGCTTCATTACATGGAACATACTTGAGGACCTGAAAAGACAGAAAAGCTTGGCATTAATTTTTAAGGACCAGGAGAACTCATGGTGATGCATTTTGACTACTAGGTGTCTCTCTTAGCAAATGCATGATTTCTAGAATTCAGGTTGAAGGAGCACTTCTGTTAGCCTGAGGACATCCTTTTCCAGTTGAAACATTTCTACCTACCGACTCCCTATCGAGCATCATCAAAGACAGACAGATAGACAGACAGATACACACACATATGCATGCATGCACACATGTGATTCCTTATTTCCCTCTCTTCTCTAACTCTAAGTCACCAAAATAGCCTGCTACTGGGGTGCAGAGCTCCAAGCCTGTTTAGAAGCTGAACCCTCAATACCACAAGAGTCCTTAGAGCCTCCAGCCTCCCAGCTCCCAGACAGTGCGACCCATGTGAGAGTGAACCTCAGAATCGGGCATTGCTGGACTTGCTCAAGTCTTCCTTCTTGAGTTTGGAATCAGCACTTCTGCCTAGTATACCCACCCCCTAGTCTCTAATCAGGCCTGGCCCTCCAATGAGGTATCATTCTGAGTTTGAAGGATGTTTATCTCCTTGGGTACTTCTTCTGGTCCTGGAGTTGGCTGGCTAGGCTGACCTGGCTGTGGTGGTAACAGCAGATATCTTGGGCCTCTGCAGTCCATGCATAATTCATCAAGGTGTCCAGGGTCACAAAGCTCCCCCTGATACAGGAAGTAGTGAGCCCATGCTGTGGCAACACTGGGACCTTGCCGATAACCCAGACTCTTGAACTCCCCAGCTCCTCCTCCACTGTTTTCCCTCCATGTCTGGCTTCTACGGCCTGACCAATTGCTTTGGCTACCCATGAGGAGCCGCCAGAGGAGCTAGGAAGGAAGGGGCAGTTCCTTCTGTTTCTCCACTCCCCACTCATTTCTTCCTCTAGGAGCTGCTTCCTGCCCCCCGCATCCCAGTCTAAATTGGAAGGTGAAGGGGCACCAAGAGTTATAAAATATTATAAAATTCTAACTGAAGAAATCAGAGGGGCCTGTACATGTGAAGAAAATAGTATCTTCTCAGGGCAAAACCGGAAAACCAAACCCGCTGCCGTCGAGTCAATTCTGACTCACAGCAACCCTATGGGACAGAATAGAACTGCCCCACAGAGTTTCTAAGAAGCGACTGGTGGATTCGAACTGCTGACCTTTTGATCAGCAGACAAGCTCTTAGCCACTGTGCCACCAGTGCTCCCTTCTCAGGACAGTGGTACAGAATTTCTCTGTGTAGGAGACTTACTTTGTGGAGAAGATGTTTTGTTAGCCTCTAGGCCATGAACAAACAGAAAGTTTCTCTTCATGATAAATGGTGCTGGTGGTGGTTGCACTGGTTGGTGGTACAAGTTGCATCAGAGGAGGGGGAAGGGAAAAGAGCTGAGATGAGCACTAGGTATAGAAAAGATTTGGGGAGGAGAGCACTCTTCGTGCACAGTTCAGCAAAAGAAGAATCCAGGAGACAAGAATGTCTGTTGGGAATTTATGAAGTTGAGAATTGTCTGGTGTGTGTTATAAACTCTTTGTTCATCCTCCAAGAGCAAAAAAAGGAGAAATCAGGGTGTGACTGCATTTACTGTAGAAAGAGGAAAGGGCCTGAGGCTGGAAAATAGATTAAGGCAGGCTACCTGGACAAGTTCCACTGCTATCCATAAGGTTTTCACTGGTCAGTATTTTTTAAAGTAGACTTCAAGGTCTTTATTGCTGGTCTGTCCTAGTCTGGAAGCTACACTATAACCTGTCCACCATGGGTGACACTGCTGGTATTTGAAATACCGGTGGCATAGCTTCCAGCATCACAGCAACATGCAAGCCACACAGTATGACCAACTGACAGACGCTTCAGGTTGGATGACACTCAAAATATGACTGGGAAAGAGCTGTCTCCACAAAGTAGAGTCGACCTTAATGATATGGATGGAGTAAAGCTTTCGAGACCTTCATTTGCTGATGTGGCACAACTCAAAATGAGAAGACATAGCTGCAAACATCCATCAATAATTTGAACATAGAATGTGCAAAATATGAATCTAGGAAAACTGGAAGTCATCAAATATTACATGGAACACGTAAAGATAGATATCCTAGGCATTAGTGAGCTGAAATGGACTGGTATTGGCAATTTTGATTCAGACAATTATATGGTCTACTATATCAGGAATGACAAATTGAAGAGGGGTGGTGTTGCATTCACTGACAAAAAGAACATTTCAAGATCTATCCTGAAGTACAGTGCAGTCAGTGATAGGATAATATCCATACGTCTACAAGGAAGACCACTTAATACAAGTATTATTCAAATTTATGTACCAAAGACTAATACCAAAGATGAGGAAATTGAGGATTTTTACCAACTTCTGCAGTCTGAATTTGATCAAACATGCAGTCAGGATGCACTGATAACTACTGGTGATTGGAATGACAAAGTTGGAGAAAAAGAAGGATCGGTAGTTGGCAAATAAGGCCTTGGTAATAGAAACAATGCCAGAGATTGCAGGATGGAATTTTACAAATGTCTTTTCTCAACAACATAAATGGTGACTATACATGTGGACCTCTCCAGATGGAAAACACAGGAATCAAATCAACTACATCTGTGGAAAGAGACAATGGAAAAGCTCAATGTCATCAGTCAGAACAAGGCCAGGAGCCAGCTGTGGAACAGACCATCAATTGCTCATGTGTAAGTTTAAGTTGAAGCTGAAGAAAATTAGAGAAAGTCCATGAGAGCCAAAGTATGACCTTGAGTATAGCACACCTGAATTTAGAGACCATCTCAAGAATAGATTTGACGCATTGAACACTAATGACTGAAGACCAAACCAGTTGTGGGATGACATCAAGGACATCATACATAAAGAAAGCGGAAGGTCGTTAAATAGACAGGAAAGAAAGAAAATACCAAAATGGATGTCAGAGGAGACTCTGAAACTTGCTTTTGAACATAGAGCAGCTAAAGCAAATGGAAGAAATGATGAAGTAAAAGAGTTGAACAGAAGATTTCAATGGGCAGCTTGAGAAGACAAAGTAAAGTATTATAATGAAATGTGCAAAGACCTGGAGTTAGAAAACCAAAAAAGGAAGAACAGGCATGGCATTTGTCAAGCTGAAAGAACTAAAGGAAAAATTCAAGCCATGAGTTGCAATATTGAAGGATTCTATGGGCAAAATATTGAACGATGAAAGAAGCATCAAAAGAAGATGGAAGGAACACAAAGAGTCACTGTACCAAAAAGAATTGGTTGATGTTCAATCATTTCAGGAGGTAGTACATGATCAAGAACTGATGGTATTGAAGGAAGAACTCCAAGCTGCACTGAAGGTATTGGTCAAAAATAAGTCTCCAGGAACGGATAGAATACCAATTGAGATACTTCAACAAATGGATGCAATGCCAAGAAATTTGGAAGACAACTACCTGGCCAACTGACTGGAAGAGATCCATGCTTGTACCCATCCCAAAGAAAGGTGAGCCAACAGAATGTGAAAATTATGGAACAATATTATTAATATCACACACAAGTAAAATTTTACTGAAGAAAATTCAAAAATGGTTGCAGCAGTACATTCATAGGGAACTGCCAGAAATTCAAGCTGGTTTCAGAAGAGGACATGGAACAAGGGATATCATTGCTGATGTCAGACGGATCTTAGCTGAAAGCAGATAACACCAGAAAAATGTTTACCTGTGTTTTATTGACTATGCAAAGGTATTCAACTGTGTGGATTATAACAAATTATGGGTAACGTTGCGAAGAATGGGAATTCTAGAACACTTAATTGTGCTCATGCAGAACACGTACATAGACCAAGAGGCAGTCATTTGAACAGAACCAGGGGATACTGCATGGTTTAAAATCAGGAAAAGTGTGAGTCAGGTTTGTATCTTTTTATCATACTTATTCAACCTGTATGCTGAGCAAATAATCTGAGAAGCTGGACTATATGCAGAAGAATGTGACATCAGAATTGGTGTAAGACTCATTAACAACCTGTGATATGCAGATGACACAATCTTGCTTGCTGAAAGCAAAGAGGGTTTGAAGCACTTACTGATGAAAATCAAAGACTACAGCCTTCAGTATGGATTACACCTCAACATAAAGAAAACAAAAATCCTTGCACCTGGGCCAATATGTAACATCATGATAAAGCGGAGAAACGACTGAAGTTGTCAAGGATTGCGTTTTACTTGGATCCACAATCAATGCCCATGGAAGCAACAGTCAAGAAATCAAACGATGTATTGTATTGGGAAAATGTGCTACAAAAGACTTCTTTAAAGTGTTAAAAAGCAAAGATGTCACTTTTAAGACTAAGGTGTGCCTGACCTAAGTCATGATATTTTCAATCGCCTTATATGCATGTGAAAGCTGGACAATGAATAAGGAAGATGGAAGAAGAATTAATGCCTTTGAATTATGGTGTTGGTGAAGAATACGGAATATACTATGGACTGCCAGAAGAATGAACAAATCTGTCTTGGAAGATGTATAGCCAGAGTGCTCCTTGGAAGCGAGGATGGTGAGACTCTGTCTCATATACTTTGGACATGTTATCAGGAGGGACCAGTCCCTGGAGAATGACATCATGCTTGGTAAGGTAGAGGGTCAGCTAAAAAGAGGAAGACCCTCCACGAGATGGACTGACACAGTGGTTGCAACAATGGGCTCAAACATAGCAACAATTGTGAGGATGGTGCAGGACTGGGCAGTGTTTCATTCTGCTGTACATAGGGTCACTAAAAGTCAGAACTGACTAGATGGCAACTAACTACAACAACCTGGACGACGTCTAAGTGATGGTTGTTGCTATGAAGATTGTTGCTTTTGTTGTTATGTGTCTTCGAGCTGATTCCAATTCATACAGACCCCTTGTGGCAGAGAAGAACTGCCCCATAGAGTTTTCTAGGCTATAATCTTTATGGGAGCAGATCACCAGGTGTTTCTCCTGCAGAACCACTGGGTGGGTTCAAACTTCCA